TTTTTTTTTTTTTTTGAAGATGATTTCTATCGTGTGAAGATGAGCAAAGACCTTGAAGATTTGATTGGTATTTTCTCTTTACAACGACCCCTTAAAACTCGCTGGAGAATTTTTTTTTTTTTTTTTGAAATATTAATGTTAGACGAAGAATGTTAAAATTTCTTTCTATTCAACGTAGAAACTTCGCACTTTAAAACGAGACTAGCCTAAGTCTAGATCGTTGTATGATCTTTTTTTTACAAAGTTACATCGGTTGAAGTTATCGAGAATTTTTCATTGCTCATCGCTGAGAAAAATGTGTGCACGAACATTTTTCTTAAATCAAAGATTTGAAATCACGACAGTCACACTTACTTAAGCCACCTCGTCGTAACAGTTTGCCTCCGTGCGGGACGCGATGGTCGTTACAAGAAGAAAGTTGCAATTTCACGCGCGTGTGTGTATATATATATATATATATATATAGAGTTAGATCGGTGTAAGTAAGTGGCTGCGTAGCATCGCGAATCGGAGTATTAATTCGACAAACGGACTAGGAAACCGGCGCGTTGTTTCGCGCACCACCGAGAAGATCGTCGCCTGTTGGTTGGCTCTCGCGGCTAATTATTGTTTTAAGGATTACCGTTATGTGTTTATTATGCGGTCTGAGGGGACCTCACCTACCTTAATATTCGGTAGATTTCAGCTTCGGCCTCTGTACGCGGCGCACCACCACCGAGAACTCTACACCTCGTTTCCTGTCCCCCCTCTCTCTTTCTCTCTCCCACCCTTACATCGCGAACCGGCCTACGTTTATGAATAATTTTCACCTCTCGCGCTAGCTACCCCACTTGAACCACCCGACCACTCCGCTTCCAACAAACGTTCCTCCGAATTGTCCCTCGAGTATTCACCTCGTAAACCTCTCCCCCTAATGCTGTGTCCTCGTTCGAGGGTGATTCCAGTTTCTGATCCTCGCTGCTCCTTGAGACGGTTCTCTTTCTCTCTCGAAAAAAAAAAGAAAAAGAAAAACCTACGAATATTGCTGGAATTTCAACGGAGAGAAGCGATTGCAATTGTAATTTGTACTTTTTTAATAGATGCGTTTCCAAGTCACCCGTTGGTGACTTGTGCAAGCTTCTCTCAGCTACTGAAAGCAAAGCAAAGATTCTCAGAATCGCGTCGGATGACGTGGAAGCGTAGTGCAGCGAAGATTTCAGATCGATCTCGAGGAATTTTCCGGGAAACGAGACGACCGACGGAGATGGTGGACGAGCGCGTGCCGTACGTGCTACGGAATA